CTGTAATGCGCTAGACTAGACTGTATGTAACAGTAGTTGCACCAGCCTGGGACACAGTGACCCCACAGTTCAGCGCAAAACTGTCAAGAAAGAGTGGAAAGTGAAAGCCGGTTTTGCGTAAAGTACCAAGGACGCACCACAAGTTAAGCACCACATGTTTAAAAAAAAAAAAAAAGTCAGGAAAGCTTTTTTTTTTTTTGTTGTCTCCGAGGAAGTCTTGAGTAGTATCTAACGTGTCCAGGCACAAGTCGTGAGTCAGGAGTTAGCTACTATCAACGTCAACTCTCCAGCGCTCTGCAATGAGGCAGAGTCACATGAAACACTTGGAAAGCATGTGGCCAAAACAGACAATTTCTCTCAAACTCCGCTACAGCACAGACACCGCTGGAATAAGGCTACATGAACACACGACAACTCAGCATGCTCAAAAGAAACGTGGAACTTCTTGTGGCACACACGAGAAACGCACAATATATATATATATATATATATATATATATATATATATATAGAGAGAGAGAGAGAGAGAGAGAGAAAAAAAAAAAAAAAAAAAGCAGCCCAAAACACAAACACAGCCACAACACAGCACAGCACTACAGCCATAGGTTGAGCTCTAACCTTCTATTTTATTTTCCATTGGTAGTGAGTCCACCTCAAAGCCCAAAAAATACAGCCCCTTTGTCTTTTAGGAAATGCAGGTGTCATTCACTGGCATCCTGACCCAAAGAAGTCCAACCAAAGCTGCATTTCACACAAATTGCAGTTTTGTCCCTCACAGTCTGACGGTCAGACTACTGCATGGTGTTACACGGAGGAGGAAAAAAATTTAAAAATATAAATCCTTGCTGTAGACTGAATCTCAATCTCAACAGAGCACTCGTCAACAATAGAACAAAGTGAGGGAAGAGAGCGACGTGAGGAGAGAGAGAGAGAGGTAGAGGGGAGAGAGGGAGAGAGAGGAAGACCGCTCACTACTCTTCTTCCTCTAATAGCCCCCTCCTCCTCTTCACTTGTTTCACCTCACACACACATGCACACTTTCCCAGTGTTTCTAGTAGCGATCCCAGCCTGCAGTAAAATGACAAATACCGCGGATTGGAAACGTTTTACGCACGTGCCGCCGGTAAACAGACGCCCTAATTCCCGTTCGTCGCCTCCTTCACGAGCTCCTCAAAGCTCCTCATAGTAATTTTTTTTTCTAAATCACTGCTGTCGTACTGTTATATATACATATATTAATTTTTGCCAATAATCACAAACAACAGATCTACTCTCCTCGACGCGCGGTAGCTGTGGATTCGGCTCTCTGTGCGCCCTCACGGAGTCTCTCCAACACTGGAGAAAGTCGACACAAGCGTTCAAAACACGTCCTCTCCCCGCTTAACTGCCGCCTGAAACTAAATCTTGTTCTGTTTGCGGTAGTTTACCATGTTTACCCAAACACGCCCACTCCTCCGCTCCTGCATTGTGTGTACACGCTCTGCCGTTTGTCATGCCGGTGTAGTTTGGCTCAGAGTCAGTAGCCTACTGTCAATACGCTCCCCTGCACACTAACAGGCAGTATGCCGCTATGCGGGGCTGTAATTTGGCAGTTCCCAGCGAACCTCTCCCGGCTCGGGTCGTGGGATCTGAGCTCAGGGACTTAGTGGGGCGACGACGAGCGCTCTGCAGCTCCGACAGCTTTTCTGTCCTGCCCATGGCTCCGTACCTGCAGTGCTGCAGAGAAAAGCGCCCCTTCCCCCACTCTGCATTATGACAAATCAAGGCAGGCAGGCAGCTGTGCCATTAGCACATCATAGCACAGTTAGTCTTCCATGGGAGAACAAACTCACAAAGCTGCACAGCACACCGCTGCGGACAAATATACTGCACGTATGGCACGTAAAGGCAGCACCTATGATAGTTAATCAGGCGATCACAGGCTTGACACGGTAACAGACATCTAGTCAGATTTGTGTGTTTTTTTAAGAGAGTAAACGGTTCGTTGTCATTATCATTGCTGTTGTGCTTCCAGACTGTGGACATTATCGATGTGATGAGTATAATTAAATCGTGCCCTACTTTTGAAATAAGTTACACGTTCCAGCTACCACAGTGATGGAAATCGTTTCTCTCTGTGATTACAAACACAGCCACACAGATCAGCACGTTTCGCAGCTTAAACCGTCCTCATGTTAACCCACATGGATCTGTGCGCTCAGCGCCAAAGTCGCTGTCCAGCGCGGTGGTTCCTGAAGCTCCTGGTCACACATGCTTTTGCCACAAGCCTCGCCTGGATCCTGTAGGTACATTCATTTCCCGGAGTAACACCTCACCGTGGATGTGTGACTGGCACAACTTCAACAGAAACAATTCATTTCCATTTGCAAAGTCTCACCTGGTGCCACATGAGTTTGACATAGTTTTGCTTATGGAACAAAGCACACAAACATGTACTGTACATGATACATGATGTCAAAGTGTCACACAATCACATAACATCTCTGTTAAGTAATGTTTGGCTTATTTTGTGCTATTCTGACAGGACTGCAAATATATTTTCTGCATGAACTGCAAACTATCTTATAGTTACTGTATAGCTGAATGCATCAGAGCTAAAGTAAGCTGAAATCCAGACAGACATCACAAGCAAAAATTCCAATACAACAATGATTTTAGATGATTACCACATCTTCTTCAAATAGAGACCACAGAATACGGTGAAACAAAGTGTGAGAGACGACAGGCAAAGGGTTAATATAAGTAAGGTAATAGGGTGGGCTGTGTTTTCCCTGAGACAGTGAGCTCCTCCTTAACTGGTTCTGTGAATGGGCCAGTGAGGCAGTAGGGTATGAATGGCGGAGGGATCCACTGGTACTGCCATGTATGGGAGCTGCCAGCTCTCGATTACTCACTCCCACTCCCTCAAGGGCCGTCTGCAATGCAGCTGTCCTGTGAGCCTGTGCTTCACCGTGCCCTACTTTATCCTGTCAATGCTCAAACACTGCAGCAGTACTTCTCCCAGTAGCAGACACACACACACACACACACCACACACACACACACACACACATACACAAATATACAATGACTTACATCCTCATTACACTCTGGTGAAGGTGCTTACAGTAGGTCTCCTGACTCACAGAATTAACTTGACTTTAAACAGAATGGAAATGTGCCAGACCCGCAGCAGCTATTGTTGAAAGCCTCTACAGTGCTGCTCTACTAAAGCCTTTTTTACTGTAACATGCTTCCACATAACAATCATAATATGCAGTCATATAAACCGATGTCTAACTTCATCATTAAATCTGTGCTGCTGTATACACAACTAATCTGTTTAGAGGCCAAATTTGATGCAGGCAAGATGAGACAATGTGTCATGTTGTCATTAAACTGACCTCAAAATAAAATCTAAAATATGACACGTGCAAATGTGTTGTGGTTTTTAATTTACATCTCAGACAACAGATTGCAAATTGAAAGTGGAAACATCATATTTAACCCCATGTCACACAATGGAGTTAACACTTCAATCAGTTCCTCCTCCAGGTGGAAGACTATTTTTCTGATATTAATAAGAATACATAAATATCAATCACAATCACAAAGTTTATCTTATAATAATTCAATTAAATTCATTCCGTGAAGTTCACTAAATGCTTCAGTTAATTTGACTGAATCTGTTAGAAAACAACAGATTTTTGTACAGTAGCTGAGGTTGATAAATGGAAATTAGAATTTATTGTACAGCTCAATTGTCAACAAGAGAGACTTTTCAAAATTAGTGATAAGGATGATAAAGATTCTCACCTATACAATACCCACACATACTCTATAAAAGCAGCCAACTAAGAGATTTTTCTGTGACATTTACCTTCAAGGATCAGAGAACCAGCACATCATTCTGAAATACAAACTGTAACAGAACTGATCCGAGACAGATTTTTATCCAAGGTGAACATTTTTCCAGCCAAAACATTTAACTTTGAACATTGAACAACTCTGCTCTTTCATTGTAAAGACAATACTGTATATAAATTGTATGTATGTGGATACAGATTTGTGTGAAATCACAATTTGTCTCCTAAACTTCCCAATGCATTTATCTTTGTGTATTTATCTTTATTATCTTGTATTACTATTCACTCATAATGTGCACCAGTTCAAATGTTCTACAAAATTTTAGAGATTTCAAAACTGTTAGAATTGAATGTAAATTTTTAATCTGCTTTAAAGTTGCTTTATGTGACATTCAGAACTAGAAAGATTGTGTACACAAGAAGCAACACAAAAAAAAAACCCATTCACAACTATTAGCCCATTCTAGCATTGTAAAACACTTTGAATGGTTGGAACAAGTTGATTTCAACTTGAGCGATGGATCTCCACTTGACCTCTGTCTCCTTCGCTGAGACACATAAGACTGGAGTGGATCAGACATAGTGGAACAAAGGAGAAGCAGAGGGGAACAGCAAAACAGCAGCAAAAACTCTCACACCAAGCTCAAATAAAACAAGCGTACATAAAATATGTACTGTATCAGGGACAAATAAAACACTTCTTAAAAAACTAAAAAAAAAACCTCAACTGACTTCATGGCTCTGCTAAGGAGGCCATTATGCCACTATATCTTTATAGAAGACAGTCGTTGCACTAGATTTATGGTAAAAAGCTAGTTATTGTAACTTTAATCTGTGAGGTCTGTTTTGTCATAACTGCCCCTCAGGGATAGATAAAGATTTTTCAGATTGAATTAAAACACTTGAATGTATTGGTTGTAAAAAATAAAATAAAATAAAATTTTTAAACAAAGCAAGATAGAGGATGTGTACGGCTTGATGATGCAGAAAATCACTGATGAAAAGGGCAAGACAGAAGAATTAGAAGTGGAGAGGAGGCACATAGTAAAGGAAACAGGGAAGAGAATACAAAAGCTGACTAAAGGAAAAAAAAGAGAGAGGTGAAAAGTAATCACAAGACAACGGAAGAAAACGCAAAACCAAGAGGAGACTTACCATCCAGAGAGAGCCAGTCATGCTGAGATGATGGCAGTGAAGGAAGAGCGCGAGCCTTATACTCAAACACCACCGAATTGGAGATGATCTGGTTACTGACAGCCACCTGTAGCGTCACCAGACCTGTATCATGAGCTGGAGCGGGAGAAGATAATGAGAATTCAGGGAATATATATAAAAAGTAAAATTACAATCTAACTCCGACATAGTAAAGTTTGTGTATGCTTTTCTACACTCAACAAAAACAAATATACAGTGCTTCACAAATGTATTAGACCACCACCCAAGGTAATACACCAGTATGAGAAGCTCTTTACCCAAAATGATATTTTTAATGATAAGATATAATTATTATTGTTATCCATGAATTTCCAAATTTACTGTTTTTACAAAGCACATAATTATTTCTTGATTAAGATGTCAAATTATAGTTATTTACTTGCATTCCTGAACAGACCAATTAGTTTTAGTGGTTCATGGTATGCTTGATTAATTTCTGACTTCTCGGAGACGCCCACTGAGCTGGCTCAGATTTGGGTAGAAAAAGGTGAATTCAGTTTGAGAGTCCTCATTCCTGTTCAAATTGGTAAAACACTGAGAGCTGAGTGCGCATTAAAGCACTTCATGATGCTGGACGGTATATATATGTGCACAGTGCGTAACAAGTTAGCTAGGCGGTCTAATACATTTGCAAGCACTGTCTATGGCTTAACTAACATTACATGATTACATTATAAATCTTATCACAAATACTGAAATAAGAACAGCAAACAACACATATATACATCGGCTTGTTTGTGTTCATTGTTACAAAATCGACTTGGATTTTCAGTTTTTAAACATTTAAATGTTAAATCAGTTTGAAAATGCAATTGCTTCTCTGTGTAAAAGTCCATAATGAATTCACAAAATTACACCTCCTGACCAGATTGTTTGCATTTTGCTAGCCTATAGACTACTATATTAAACAAATGAATGAAATGTGAAATTCAATTTAATTCAATTTATATTGTGCCACTTCAACACATCTCAAGGCGAATCACATGGTAAGATTCCAAAATGTATACAGAGAAATCTTACAAATCCAGAGTTTCAAATGATACACACAAATATGTGTGTATCAAATATGACACATGATACAAGAAAATACATTTATTAGTAAACATAAAATCCAGCACCACAGCCCACACTATTAAAAAAAGTTTGTCTGCTGATATTCTACTAATAAACTGACTCAAAAACTGAGATTGCTATGCCAAAACAAAAGTAGTAAAAATAGAATATCTACTGGTTCATGAATCACATGATGGATAAACTTTATTGTTAATGACTCTTCTCTTCTTTTGTGTGTATAAGCTTCCTCCGGTCTTACCTGGGCAGTAGCAACGCAGCACCCCTGGTTGGATAAGAGAAGCTGGGACTGAGATCTGGTCAAACAGGCAGCTGTAGTTTGAGCTGGCCTCTTGCCAGGGCCCAGTGATCAGAACCTTAACACCACCCTGAGAAACATCACAAAATAAAATAAAGTCACATCCAGTCAGTAATACAGTATTCCTAACTACAAAATGTGTAGCTACCCTGCCATCTAGAGCCACAACATAGGAATGGCACCAACGTAAAGAAAAGAACTTCCTCACACCAATCTCTGCTGCCACCATGTGGATAACCAGCATTGTTTCACTACACCCATTTGTCAAAAACGCTCCAACACACTGACTCTAAATTTTACTCTGCTACCCTCCAGAGGCTGAAGGAGGGAATTACTGCTGACAGCACAGTTAATACTGACAAACTGTGGATCACATAACCAGGGCACAGTGGTGATGTTCAAAAAAAAAAAAAAAAGCAAGTTATTTTTGTCTGCTGGTGCTCATCTTTTTTATTTTTTACATTTATATTTCAAACATTTCGCTCATGCTAGATGTTTTTTCCCCCCATACCAATTTGCTGAAAGCCACACTTGGGTGTAGACTTACTCCACTAACTTTGTGGTGTATTTTTCAAATTCAAAAAACTGCTTACTAAAGCATTTGCAGACCAGTACAATGCTGAATTCATTCATGCTACTTTTTCTTACTTAACTGTACTGATTCTACAACAATAGGAATAGTTTTTTTCTATTTGACTTATATACAAACATTAATTATGTAATTATTGATAACTAGCATTTCATGCGTACTCCATATTTACTCCTGTGCTTCCCATTGCTTCTGATTTTGAGATTGTATGAATTAAAAGTGACAGACTTTGCTTTAGTATCAAACTCCTATTCCACTTAGGGTTGGCAGGTGGCCTTAAACAACTAGTTGTTTCCTCCTTTGGTAAAGGACTAAATTTATGAATGAATTACAATTATGTAAATTTTATGAAAGAAAACTATCAAACCAGTATATATGTAAATTTTTTTTGGATTGATAAAATGCACATTTTGTTTTGCACATTTATAAAAAAAAGCACACTGATGATGCATATTATAGAACTGGTTGTCATGATTTCTATAATAAGGGTACAGTTCTGGGGCTGAAAGGTGGCGCAGTTGTTAGCACTGTTGCCTCGCAGCAAGACGGTTCACGTCCCGGTGGGGGTATCTTGCACCGGAATCTTTCTGCATGGAGGTTGCATGTTCTCCCCGTGCTTTCTCCCACAAGGTCCAAAAACATGTTGAGGTTAATTGGTGATTCTAAATTGTCCGTAGGTGTGAATGTGAGTGTGCTTGGTTGTCTGTCTCTAAGTGTAGCCCTGTGATAGACTGGTGACCTGTCCAGGGTGTCCCCTGCCTTCACCCTAAGTCAGCTGGGATAGACTCCAGCCCCCCGCGACCCTAGTGAGGATTAAGTGGTGTATAGATTATGGATGGATGGGTACAGTTCTGTGATTTGCTATCTTGGTACTAAGTTGAAATCACATTTAGTTTCACTGATAGACAGATTTTCTAATTTATGATAATGTTCTATTTTTGTCTTTATTATAAAGAGCACTGGTCTTTACTGTCTCACAGAAGAGGTCACAGTATGTTTTTCAGCCCCTGCTTGTGTCTGGAAGCTCTACTAGTCACAGGATAGGTTCATCTCTATGTAGCTTTATAGGTGAAACCTTCCACATAAAGTCTGCTAAGAGCTTGCAATCACTTGTAAAGCTCATTGCTGTGAGCGCACAGTAATAACTGTTAGTGACCAGGATGAGTTTGTCAACATTTTTCTTGAGTCAGAGCTTCTACATTATGGCAGCTGGACAGTAGGAGAACTGCTGTAATGTTTCTGTGAGTAAATCAAACTGAACCTGTTATGTGAAAGGGACAAAAATATAATTTTGAAAAGAAAGGGGGACATGTCCTCCTTTCCCCTTTAGAAACAAGACCTGATACAAACAACATGAATTTAAGCTGACGGCAGCTGGAGTTGTTCTTAAGCAAAGCCTACGGCGCTGAGTGTTTCATAATTAATAACAGTCCAAAGACTGATGAACCCATGTTTATATGGTCTTGCATCGGTGACACACAAAATTATGTTTGTACATTTTAATTCTGTGTGTTTACTTTTGACAAAAGTTTATCATTTGCATCATCACTTTTTCCGTGTATGCAACGTACTTCAAGAATTAGCTTTTTTGCTGTGTTAGAGGTTCACCTTCTGGCTGGAACAACTAAAACAAAACATTTTTTAATTACTAAAAATGAATAGTGTACACATGGATCATGTTTACATGAGTCTCATCCTTTTTGGTTTGCCATTACTCTTACTAGTAATTTGTTATTATTTGTTGCTATTTTGATGGAGAATTTATAGAGCAGGCAGATTGATTTACAAAGATTTTCATTGATGTTAAATGTCCCTATTCATCCTAAACAGCACCTCAAACAAAAAAAAAAGAAAACAAAAAGACTGGCTGCCCCAGATCTAGCTGCACATTATTGAAACAACTTTGTTGGAAGAGAAGATTGTAAACAATATGTGATGAGAAACGAAAAAGAATCTAATTGATACTTACAAGGATATTCTGGTTATTAATTTACCTTTGTTTGAAATTCTTTTTTATGTTATTTATTCACATTTGTTTTCATTTAAAAAAAAAAATAGCACTTTACATAAGTAGGCTATTTAAAACATGTTGGACTGGTCTTATTTAAGATGCAGAACTGAACTCTTACAAATTTTTTCAGTGGAGTCCTTGAGACCAGCTTTGGAGCAATTAGGCTGGTGCACAAACAAGAAACAAGAAACAAAAACACTGTTTGTGAAAAAAAATCTAAAAGGCCTATCACTCACCTCAGGATAGGACCACTCCGGGGAGTAGTCAGTGACCATGAAGAGCCGGCCTGTTGCCTGAAGCATCCCCAGAGCCCCTTGAGCAACGGCTGCAGAAACCACCTCTGCTACATTCATGTATGACAATGAGCCAGCCTCTCCTGCATTTCCTCCTGCTCCGGCCCCTCCACTTAGAGACTGGGGGCTGCAGCAGGGTTGAAGGCAGAGCTCTGACGGGCTGTAGCCAGAGCCCCTGGCCCCTCCATCCTCCTGGCCTTGCTGAGGGGGCCCACCAGCTGTGTTCTGATTATCAGAGCTGTGAGATGTGACTAGCTGGTGAGCATATAGGGCCCCTCCAGCTGACATGGCAGTTCCACTGCCATCCACTGAGATGAAGTCATTAATGAGGTCAGAGAACTGGTTTCCAAAAGAGATGTCAAAGTGGTCCAGACTGATCTCCATGCCCGTTCCTCCTGCTCCTCCATTTGTGGCCGCACCACCCAGGCCTTGGTGGGTTCCAACAGCGTTGTAGAGTCCCTGGACCATGCTTGTGCCCTGCAGGAGAGGCTGCAGCTGCTGTTGCTGCTGGTTGCGGTTGCTGCCATCACTGTTGTTGTTTCCATTATGAATTGCAACACCTTCACCTGCACCTCCTGTCCCTCCACCGCCACCATCCGACGCCTGTTGCAGGTAGTGTTCTGCTCCCCCTCCCTCTCCATTTCCTGCCCCACAAGCCTGAATGTGATCTCCTGGCTTGAGTAGAGTCTCAGCTCCGTTCTCCGTGGCTCCAGTCTGACCTGAATTCACACTGCCTGGTTGCTCTAGACCAACCACCTCCTCGTGCTCAGCGCCCAGCCCTGGAAAGCTCCCCTGGTATTGCAGCAGTTGGAGAGAGCCAGCTTGGCCAGGGCCCTCAGCAGGTGAACCTCCATTACAATTGGCCCTGTGCTGGGGCTGATGGGCTTGATGGTGGTGATGAAGGTGGCCGTTGCTGCCAGGGGAGTCTGTTTTCACCACCTGTAGCCCCATATACGCTCCAGCGTCATGGGAGTTGTGCTCCATCATATGTGTTTTCTGGCCCATGTTGGGCCTCCCCTGCTGCGTCTGGTTGTTCTGAGATCCATCCTGGAGGAAAAAGCTGGGTGAACGATTCTGGTGTTGCATGTGAGGACTGGACATGGCCTGAGCATAACTCACTGTGGTAGCACTGGAAGTGTAGTCTTGCTTGGCATCAATGGCACTGAAGTCCATCTGCTCCAAGGTAGTGCTGGGACTCAGACCCCCACCAGAAGGGAGCAGGGACCCTGCTGCAGTCAGAGTAAGGCTGCCCGGGCCTGAACCAGCACCAGATGACACGGACACCCCACTGCCACAATTTACTACCGGCCCCACCTGGTAGCCACTCTCCTTGGCCAGCTGCTGCTCGAAGGATGTGTCTTCTGTCTTGATGTTTTTTACGAGAGCTGAGCTAAAGGTGTAGCCATTGTCTGACATGGGAGGGGAGCGCTGCAGATTTCCATTAGTGCTACCGTTACCACCGGAGGAAGAAGAGGTTGAAGAGTTGCCTTCTGTCTTCATTGCACTGCCTCCATAGGTCTGGCCTTGTTTGGGGTTGTTCAGGAAGCAGTCAGGGTCAAAGTTCATATTGGTCTCTGGGATCTTGATGGATCCAGAGTCCAGACTGCTGGACAGCACCAGTTCCTCAGACACCCCAGCTGTAGACAACATGGTTAAGCTGTCTCCTGCTGTGGTAGTCCCAGGTTCCCCTACTCCTCCACTGGGGAAGGCAAATTTGTGACGATCAGAGGTCACAGACAGCACCAAGCCCTGTGAAGTGGCATCTGCACCTATCAGGTGAGTATTGGGACCCCCAGTAGGAGACATGCTGTAGACAGGGTCTCCAGTGACCTCAGACATAAAGACACTCTGGGACAGGCCAGACATGACGGAGGCCACGTGGCTCATTCCTGTCACCACAGGGCTGTCAGCCATATCTGGATCACTGTTGAGGCCGCTGCTGATGGAAACGGGGGAGTTCTGCGTGGTGTCAGGGACCTCGACCTGGTTGGTGGACGACACCTCTGTGCTGTTCTGGTGGAGCAGGACAGGCTTGTGGACTTTGCCGTTGCGTTTCTCCCTGGTGCTGCCCCCTCCGCCGCCTCCACCAGAGCTTTTGCCTCCACCGTGGGCACTGTGCTCAGTCTTCCCTTCTGACACATCGTTGTTTTGGACCTCAGAGTGGGCACTGCTGTAGCCACCTGAGCGGGGGTCGACTTTAGGGGAGATGATACGGTGTTTGGCGCTATTGCATTTGTGGTGTACACTGCTTCCTGCACCTATATGAGGGCAAACAGAATAAAAGAGGTTGGGGATTCAGTTGGGTGAGGGAACAAAAAGAAAGGACATATACTGTATATTCTTTTGAGTTGCATGTACTTAAAAAATGTGAAACAGTACTGTTCAATGAGCACAGGAAAAGATGGATTACCAGTTTGTGAAAGGCAATTTTCTGGTCAAACTGATTAAACTAGCTTGTACATAAATTTACATTGAGTGAAGTGTACAAGAAGTTTTGCATGGCTTGTTACCATAAAAATTAAAAACTGAACAGCAATTTGTTCTATTTATTAGTAAACCTTTGCTTTCTGCATTTTTTTCTGTGGAACAGCTTGGAGAAAGAAAATATGTTTGACTAACAAAAAATTGCAGATACACCCCTGACACATATCAGTTTAAAAAAGTCAATAACCCTTTTGCCTGATTTCACTGTAAATCACCTGTCAATAAAAGACTCCAACCACCTTGTCTAATCTACCATGTACTAAACAGTGTCTTTACGGCCTTTTTTTTTGCTTCTCTCACTGATTTTTTTTTCTGTTCAACGCCTCCCCACCCACTAGCCCTTACCCAGGGTGCCCGTGCAGAGGCAGTTGTGAGTCCGGGGAGGTGGCTTAGTTTGGTGGCTGTCCAGAATCTGTTGCACTAGCTGCTCCACTGAGAAGCCAGAGCTGCTGTTCCCATTGCTGCAAGTCCACTTGATGCCATGAACTGCCGGGAGAGAGGAGGAGACAGAGATGTCAGCCAGCCCAACAGACCACCAGCCACGCCAACCCCCCGCCCCACCCACTGCCCTCTCTGTCTACCTGCCAGTACGCCTCATCCTGCTCACTGGACACCTCTCTACGAATGTGGTAAAATGGAGAAATTTAGAATTCTGTTCTCCCCTGAAGGGAAACAAACAATCCATGCATCCCTTGGGTAAAATAGTATGGTTTCATGAGTAGAATTTAATTGGCGTTACCTTTGGTTTTATACTTGTTGTGATAATGCTAAATCGCCACACTCTCTATCATGTCTTCATAACAAAATCTAAACTTTATTTTTTCCTATGCGCCTTGTTTTTCTTTCTGAGTCCAGTATTGAACAGTTGCTCTTCTGTTGTAACCTTTAACCCTAACGTCAAACCATCTGTATTGGACTGCTCATCTCTGTTGTGCCTCTTTCCCTCCCACGTGCCAGTGTTTGTTGCTCCTCTGTGGCATCCCTTCTGTGAGTGCTAATGAAGGTGACAGCAAGCTCAATCTTTCCACTCTCCACCCTTAACCTGACCTATGACTCCGCTCTGATAGGAAAAGTCTCTGGGGAGGAACATCACCAAGCTGCTGCTGCTGGATCTGCTGGACCACAAGAAAAAGAGAGTTTTTTTCCCCCCTGCAAAGCTCCACTCCCTGCTTCAGTCACACCTCACTAGCACCTCTTAATACTTTTCATCGCTCCACTTGTCAAGCAGCCACCACTTCTGATGAGACAGATAGTGGTTTTAGTGGCTGTAAGGTGGTAGAAGACACCACTGAGTGCTGCAGCGCTCAGGCTCTCAACCGGGAAAAAAGGTAATATTTCAGAAGTGAAGCATATTTAGACTATCAAACAAAATCAAGCCAGCTTTAATTCAAGTTCCCTACACTTCAGCACCTCCTCTGGTTAAATATGCAAGAGAGGGAGATATATAAAGAGAAGGAGGTTTAAAGCACGCATGAAAAACAGCGAGAATTTGCTTAGTGCATGTCTGTTTGCACTTGAGATAAAAGGAGATGGAAACAGTGTAAGAGGAAGAGGGTAATGCAGATTAAAGATGAAGCTAGTTAAATTGAAGTGAAAAGAGCTGGGAAACATGATTGGATGACTGTGATAGGGATCTAACTTGAAAGCTTTAAGATCATTTGGCAGATTACAGGCTGGTCACCAGCAGATGTCAGCAGAGCTGCTGTGATCAAGCTAAGATCATACGCTCCACCGACAGCTCACTGTGACAGGTTAGAAACGTAAACAGGGTTCAGTTTGATGTGGTAGAAAGTCAGATTTATTCAGCCATTAATCCACAGTGAGTGAGCCGGGAAAAAAAAGAACACTAACTGTGAAGGTTTCATCATAATTACAACGCAAATAATTGTGTCTGTCTGTAGACTCCATTTAATAGTGTGGCTTGAGTCACCATTAACCTTCTGACAGTTTGTAATGCAAAAAATGCAAATGAGATGGTACTAATATGACTAACAAAGAGATAATAGAGCCATTGGTGCGCTAAAAATGCTGCCATGAGTCTCCTTTCATGACAAAGCCAGCAGGGAGGCTGCAGGACAGAAGAGAGTCCGTTCTGCTGATCTGACTCAGAGCGGGTGACAGAGCAAGAGTGAGCGCCTAATGCAACAACTTACATCCACCATGCAGTGCCACGCCTATTTGTCCAAACAATCATGTCTTGCCTCAGCCCTGATCCCTCATGCCAGATTGCCACAGCGCTCTTCATCTCGATGGGTGTCACCCCTGGAGGCTTGGGATTGTTGACGTACGGTTACCACCATGTCTGCCTGTCTGCTCTTCTCACTGAGGGTTATATTCCAAAGCAGATATGACAGGAGCAGTGCCACTAGGTTTAATCCCGGTGGCAGCAGCAGGAGAGGCACCGAACAGCAACCTAGTTATGATTATTCTGATCATTGCGTCCTGTCATGAGCAGCATCTAGCAGCCCTAATGACAAACACAGCGAAACTGTGGGGCACATCCCACCTGGTTGCCCCTGCACCACTGGGCACTACATGGGGCAGTTGAGTACAATAGTCTGTTCTTCTCTGGCCCTGTCTGTCTAGCCTGGAGACAAGCCTTCTGTCTGTCTGAGTGTTTGTTAAAGCAGCTCATGCGCTATCTGTCAGCAGGCTTGGGGCATAGCCGCAGAGTGCTGCGTGTTTATTGCATTAGACCAAAAAAGTGAATCAAGCTGGCTGCCTTGTCTATGGAACTGTAGCGTGACTGAGCAGCGATGCCACTCTCTTACCCACCCACCCCCTTTGCTTCTTCTCTTTCTCATCAAACACCACAGGGCGTTAAGGATGACGAGGTCAGACAAGGCCATGTTTCACAGGGCTTATATTTGAACTACTGTGTGTGAGCATCTGTGCATGTGGAAGTTTTTTTTGTGACTGAGAGCGTGTGTGTGTGTGTGTTTTTGTCATGGAGAGACAGAATAAGCTCAACTGATCCATGAAATCCACATTTTCCCTTTGTTGTTTTTTTGTATCATTAGAGGTGTCAAATGGTTTGCGCAGTGAAATATCGTGAAGAGAATAACAAAAGGGAAGAGCAAGACGAAAGAGGGCAATTATCCTGCAAAAGTTGAAAATGTTCTGGAAAAATAACTATTTGACATTAAACTCAGGATGTTCTACCAAAAAGCAGCTTATGAAAAGGGAACCTTCATCATTATATAAGAACAATTTCTGAACACGCAGCCAAATATGACTCTTTATGAGTATCAAACATACTGTAGACGCTCCTGGAAAATTGCACTCTGGGACATTTTATTTCAAGTCAACCAGGGACTCCCACCTCTACATTTTTGTTTTGATCTTTTTTACCCCCTGTCTAAAGTCTGACATATGATGTAGAAATCCTAAATATTAGAGCCATTGGGATACCATTATCAAACTACAGCCACTTTTGCAGAAGGGCTGGTAGAAATTTACATTTTCTCCTAAATTATAGAGCAACTTTAGGGGCTTCATAAAGCTACTTAGAAGTGCTATATCTTCATCATTTTGCTTATGGGGACAGATGCATACTTTGTGTGTAAGCCTCTGCCACGTTTGACAGTATTTTTGGGATTTGTGTCAGATACCACTCAAAAATGAAAAAGAAAAAAAAGAAAAAGAACATTGTGACAGGTCTTGAGCATGTTTTGTGTGTGACATTTTAACATCCACTGCTCGAAAAGTATTTAAAATATCCAACTAATATTTGTTCTCTTACATTATAAAAATGAGTCTGTGCAGTCTCAAGGTCATAGGTGGTTTAATCTGGCTTTAACTGGCCTGTAAAGTTGGCCACAGATTAGACACTTTTGAGAAAATGTTGCTGTTGTGGCAAAAGTAACCTACTTATTATAAAAAAAAAAGAAGAAGAAAAAAAGTTGTACACACAGTACAAATACGTAATATCAGTTTCAACAAAGAACACAACCTGGTGCATAAATACTATGAGCATTTAAGGTGCATGATTTTTTTGGTTTTAAAAAATAATAAATACAAACTGTTTGTTTCAGCCATTAGATTATTAGATTAGCTATAAGCAAGCATCATCTTTCACCTAAAAACAACCCTTCAAATGTATAAAAGCTATTGTGTTAGAAAATAAGGAAGGAAGTATATTTGCGTATGGTGTAAGACCTTTAATTTTAAATTGAGTTCGGCTCAGTTTCAGCTCAAAACCTGCTTTAGATGTGAAAAATAAAAAATGTGATACTTTAGATCTTATTAATGAGTAATTCCTCCACAAATGAAATACAATTCAATGGATATGTAAATAAACAAATCATTGTGCAACCTGAAATTGGTATGTGAAAACAAATTGGGTGAATATTGCTGATTTACACTACTGTAGCTGATGTAATCCAGGATTATGAAGTGCAAGTGTGCTTATTTTCCAAATTTCCAATGCAAACATTTTGCTGACTGAGCAAAACACCAAATACAGTACATCTAAATTACCCATATTCTCTAAATTAAATATACTATATCCTTGCAGCTGTGAAGTAAGAAATATGTGGCTGATCTTTAAGCGTCTCTTACATGCCTTAAAGTGTACATTTTGCTTGTACTAGGGGTCTTATGTTATGTTGATTTTTTTTGGAAACTTGATTCATCTTTAACTTTGCAACATTTATGCTCATAATATTGGTTGCGTATTTTGTGGGTCCCACATTTCATTTTATCTTTTTAGAAAACAGGTGAAATTCGGGAGGCATCTTTAGTTTCTGCAGGATAAAATCACCTACAGCCTTGAGACTGCATGGATCATCGTACGAGTTTGTTTTTCGGCAGAAGACAAATATTGCTATTATATCTTTATACATACTGAGCATGTTTGAGGTTTGCATAAAAAATATTGCTGGCAACCCTTTACAGTGTTTGTTTTTTCATTTTTGGTGCGTGTGTCTGACTAGGTACATTTTGATTTGACTTTTTGTTTTCTTTTTTAGGTACATGTCTTTTTGAACCCCTGAAGCTGCTCTATAAATTAGGTGAAAATTGTAAATTTGAACAGCGCACTCTGTAAACTTAGTAAATAATTCCCCTATGGCTCTAATATTTACAATTTTTTAATCATATTGATTCTTCTTTCACCAGAAGAAAAATGAACAAAATAATAATAATAACAATAAAAAAAAAAAAAGGTAAAGTTTTAATGTCTAGTTGTTTTGACCTGGAATCCCCCTTGTGCATCCAATACTCAAACTACAAAGTTAGATAGTTTTGCACGGATGAAAAGAGAGGGAACATTTGTCCTGCTAGTATATTTATACAACCTCTGAGGAATGTTGAAAGTTCTGCTATATACAAAAAATATATATTTAGTACAAAAATCTTAAAGGATATAGGTCAGTCTGGTAAAAATGTACCATACGTTAAGAGGTCATACATGATTTAAGATTGAGTAATGCATGGTTAATACAGCATGACTTCACCGCAAGTCTTACTCCCCACAATAAGATGAAGGCTGCTATCTGAAAAGACCACTAGGTGGCAATGTTGCTCCATCATTGAGCTCATGTTGACATAAAGGATGCTCCAGGAGAAAGAGAGAGGGATAGAGAGGAGAAGAAAGACAGAAAGCAAAGACAGAAAGCAGGAGAGTTTTTTTTTTGCTTTTTTTTTTGCTTTTTATGTAGCCCCCTCATGTAGTCTGCCAGCTCGAAGGCATCTCACACTCACCCTCTTTGTCCCAACAACTCCCAAAGTTAATGACTTTACACATTACTGCAAATGGTGCTTGATTTTTACATTAAGCCACAGATGTAATGAATACAGTAGGCTGTTGTTGCTCAGTGGCTGTCCTGAGGTAAGGCTTTATGCTATAATGTCCTAAAACTAATGCAGTGACGCGGGCAACAATATAGCTTAGACCACAGTGATGATGGCCCGGACTGCCTATTCAGTATGCAGCCGGCATGTGTGTGTGCTTGAAAAGCTGCTGACACCTTCCTCTTTACCTGGCCACATCACCAATAATTGGCCATTGGAATATCAGTCACAGCTCTGCTGGCCGCTGCCAGACACACCCGAATCACAGTCTGGTTGTTAAAGGTATCTTAACAGCTCTCTGAAAGATTTTCAATGCCCCACAAGGTCCCCTTCTGGCTATTAACATCATCAGACAAAACCCAGACTTTTTTCCAAAACACCGCCTCAATCTTTGGGCAGATCTAGAAACTCATAAAAACACAGTGCAACGCAAAGCATTTGTAAAGCTGTTAACAACAGGGATCAATTCATTGAGGGGGAGAGAGACAGAAAGATGCAGAGAAGGGGTGGAGGGGGATTTCTGGTGAGTCAGACATTCCTGCTCCCACGCACTAACATGAATCAATAACCAGCTTGCTGCCCTCCTCTGCCTTCATAGGCCAAGGGAGATGCACTCTCAGTCTGGCCAGAGTGGTGCCAGAGGTCTAGGGGAAGAGCCGAACTTTGACCCGAAAGTAGCAGACGGCTCCAGGAAGCGCACACAATCATACACTGTTGTAGGATTACTGACCAAAGATGCTCTCTGACTGAGGGTGAGGGCACTTAGTGTACCAGCTATGAGCTAACAGGACTAGACAATACAATTCTCAGACAAATGTGTGGTCTTTGCATGCATAGAGACAATTTACGTCTTTTTTGGCTGTTGACAGTCTCTGTTAACATTAAAGGTTGTAAATAAAAGTTGAGATTGGAGTGATTCGAACTGATTGAACGCATAGTTCTGAGCGGGATCATTCAAATACTCACACATGGGCTTGAGCTGGCCAATCAGCTCCTCCTTGGTCCACTTGGCCCACTCCTTCTTGTCGGTATTGATGGAGCACAGGATCGGTCCACATGGTTTCCCACAATCCTCAATAGCCGGAACATTCAAATAGTGGACGAGCACAATATCAGGGTTCTGTGGGGACAACGCAGAGAGAGAAAGTGTATGTGTGGAAGAGGTTAGACAAGATGACATAAGGGATAGTCAGTAGTGTGGTTTCTTAAGGACACAACAGCTAAGAGTAGTAGTGACACATGGATACTGTGGCTCAGATGTGAGGGCTTTTATGCGGAACAAGCCAGCTGGTTGGTGAGAAGTAAATGTTGGTGAATTAGAAATACTGCGTGGTAACCCTCACACAGACAACAGAGCCCAAGAACAGAGGAGGAAAAGCGCAACCCAAAACAAAGCCAGACAGCAGAACAAATCTGGGATCAGAAATCAGTAATAATCTCACTCATTATGTGACTGTCTATCTCCGTATCTCCAAATGTGTGTGTGATTGGATGTGTATGCTCGTCTGTGTGTTTGCATGTGCATATGTGTGTTAATTACAATGTGTGCTCATGTAACACACTTATGGCATTTTGTCAAGTCCTCCCACATGGTGTGATGATGCCCTCAATTAACTCTGCCTGTATTTACCAAGTCAAAACTCAATAATTTGCCGCCTGCAAATTGTTACTGGGTTACCTCTGCAAATTCTCTAAATTGACAGCTTATGAATAATAGGTAGCATTTAAAGGAATGTTGTGCAGGTGTGAAAAATATCAATTCACTTCTGTAATCATGAAAAGCTTTGATTACCAAGCACTCACACAAGGAATGTTCCTGGTTCAGTCTTTATCACTTCCAATTTGCTGTAAACATCTGACGACCAACAAACTCAACACATAAACACAGTACAAAATCCCTACACCGACGCATAAGATGCAAATGAAAGCCGCTCTGAATTTAAGGTCATCAGATGGTTTCTGCTTGTTCGTTTTAAAATGCTGTGAATGCTTAGGCCTGAAATGTTCCCGTCATGTAGGTGGAAAAGCGAAAGGAGATTGCATGTTTTACACAAGCAAATAACACAAGCGCACACCTACATGTGTGATTGTGCTCGCGGCTAAACAAGATGCAAGAATGGACAAACCAACTATGACTTTGATCGAGAAAAACGCCGCGACAACACGTGTGTGACTGCAGTTCGAAGCTTCATCAGTACTAAGTGGCAAATAAATCAAGGCGCTGCTACTGTAGGTCTGTGCTCCCTCTCAGTGTGTACCATTAATCTAGGACTACGCCTGCCCCCCTCTGTGCTTGTCCCATTACATCAGGCAGGGGTGTGGTTGGGGGCAAACAGATACACAGAAACATTTACTTCTGTGAAAACATCCCAAACATACAAACAACAACCACCACATCCGATGTGTCTGGGCAGTTATAGCTCAGCGGTACGACAGACGACCTCCCTCCCACACCACTTCTACCAGAAGCTGGACACTGCAGAGTGTTATCTCGCTACTTTCCTTGTCCCCTGTCATTGGTACGGACACTAGGTGACGACTGCTGCCCTGTTTGGATGGAGATGGCACAGGCAGTGTGTGTGATGCCCCCCAGATGGCATCACCAGCTGTGTCAATAGCCAAGAGATGCCCTCAATCTTTTCTTGGAATGAGAGCACAGAATTTAGAAAGCTTTGTTCAATTATGAGTGTGTATAAATGTATGTAGATGTATACTAGGTGCAGGCGGGACTGAATATGCAGGCGGTGCATGCATAAGTGTGCACGAACCCGCAAGCAAAGACAAAAACAGCAAGGACAAACTGCTTAGCATAGTGTAACAGACACATATATGCTCACAAGACACACAAGGGTTAGTTGAACACAATCATACACGTGGCTACGCACAATCTCCTCCTTCCAACACCCACACGCCCAGCTGTTTCCTACCTTTTCACACATAGCTACACAAATATGCACTCATACACAGTAAACACAAAGGAATAGACCATGTGGCCAGTCCTACAGCTCATTCAAACACAAGTAATCCGTGTGTTGCTGCGCTCTACTATTAGGAATCTGCTTTGTGCTGTTAACCAAGGAGGGAGCCAGAGGCGTGAAAAGTCTGAAATTTTCTCTCTCTTTCTCCAGTCTTGTTTTACTTCTTCCTCTCCTCTTACTTTACAACATATTTAACAGTTCTCAGGCCTACCTCCACTCCGAGGAAAACAACACAATGAAAATGTAAAGCGTCACATAAATCTATCAGGATGGTAATTTAATTTAATTTCCTGCTGGCTGCTTTCTTTTTCCACGATGTAATATCAGGAGTTGGTTCTCCAAGAGTAGGGGGAAACGGCTGAGGGGGAACTTTTTGCCTGGATAGTCTTTTCTAGAGAAAATGAGATCTCATTAACTTATTGATTAATTGTGTAATGTAGTCTTTTGGTTGTTTTTCCCTCTCATTTCCCATGCGAGTCTTAGGGCAGCTTTCCAGCCTTGCTTCCGCAGTGGTAGGGAAAACTGGGATACAGTTGCAGGAACCTTTGCTGTGTTACGGGTGTGGAAAGATTTTAGTCACTTTAGATGTTGAGATTCGGATCCATCACACAATACCATCCCGGAGGCAGTCGATCAGTCCTAAATTCATTCTGCAGCATGAGACAATGACCCCAACCTAACAGCCAGAGTCATAGATAACTATCATAAGTGACAAATGAGAATACAAAAACCTGAAACGGATGTATGTTTCCCCCTCAGAACCCTGATCTCAACATCAGTTTGGATTACATGAAGAGACAGAGGAAAGTAAGACAGCCTAAATTTACAGGAAAAAAAGTTGAAAATCTGCATGTCAGAGAAGTCAAGTTATGGCCATACCATAACTTAGTGGTAGTATTAACATTTGCTTTTCCCCCCTATTTACTTTACTCTGTTAACTGATAAAAACAAACTATTTGTGGCTACATATGTGTTTGTGTGATATTATTCTTGCGTATAAGCTTGAAATTGCTTGCGAGCATGTGTGCCAACCGTTCACATGCATTAAAGCATGAATGTACCATGTATGCATAAAATGCAGCGTGCGTCTAGCCAGCATTTTGATGATGCTGTGTTGTGTTAATGTTTACTGCGCCTCCCTAGAACAGATGGATAGATGTTGAGCTAATTACTAGCGGAGTCTTGGGGAGTCAGCCATGGGGGCGGAAGGCCTGCTGAGTGGGTGGTGGAGCGCCTTCCTGCCCCTCCTTTCACCAATCTCTCTCAGAAACACAGAGAAACACACCCACATACAAAGGCATGCACGCACATGTAGAATAACACGCGGTCATACGTTCGCAGTCTAATACACAATGCACGACACACATGAAAGGCATATGACATGTATGAAGAAAAACACACACACACACATATTTGCACACACGTGCATTTGTGATATGCAAGACATCGCCATCGCAACCGAAGGATAAAGGTGCTGTTGTAGCCAGGCAACAGGTTTCTTTGGCACCCACGCACTCAGAGGCAACCAGTGCTTCTACGATCTCTCAGTGACTGCCTACCTCGTCCTGAAGTCATACACCCTGTTCTACTCCAAGAGACAAGGAGGGAGAGAAAGGCAGAGAGAGTCGCTAATGAAGCTGAAGACACAGACGGAGTTAGATGTCAGTGGAGACAGATACAATGACCTTCTACTTTGTGCTGAATGTGTGGTAGTGAATGTGTATGTTGAGCTGCGGCTGTAATATAGCTAACTGCGACTTGAGTACAAAGCACGTCCACCGGTAGAATTCGATATGAGTGGTCAAGTAACGTGTCCGCCGCCTTGTTAAATCTCTGCGACCCTGCCACAAGCCTGCCACTCTCCTGGAGCTCCTCTGTGCAGCTGTTACTCCAACAGACCCCCCACAGCTCTTTAAGAGTCAGAATAGGCAAGGGAACAAGACCGAATTTGAGATAGAGTTACATGGAAAGACAGAGCGACAGACACTGAAAGAAGAATGAGCGCAACAGCTCTTATATTGTCATTCAGGCAGCTCTGCTCCATGATTGTACTCTACCACAGTAGGCCTCGCTTTCACAACTCGTGCACAGGAGCGATAAGAACACCATTAACATGAAAGGATCTTAATTGAGAGGGGATGCTTCATGGAACGTGGATGAGCCAGGGAGTGAAGGGGGAAACCTTGTTCCACTCTGATAAAATAAACCACACTAAGGAGTAGGGGCTTCAAAGCCTGTCATACTAAAGGGGAGTACAGAGCAGACAGGGGCTCAGGTATGGGGAAAGCCCCCCTTCCACTTTCACTCTGAGGAAGGAATTGGGAAAATAAGCAAAGGAGGGAAAAAATGAAACAGTTCTTCATGGGAGAATTGAACCAGCAGGCTACGGGGATATCCATTTCAATGCAAAATATCATGAAGGCAGAAGCAGTCAATTGTTTTGTCACAAACATTCAGCATCAAGGCATGAATACAGAAGGGAGGGGTTGGTGTATTTTTTGTTTATGAATGCATCTGTGTCTTTGTATTTGAGCCTGCCTACATGAAATTATAAATAGTACGTGAAGGAGTGTCTAGAGGCAGGTTTCTGTATGTTAGTTGGTGTACTTACATCAGTATGCAGGCAGAATGAACACAATGAGCTGTGAGTGTGAGTCTGAGCGCACTGACTGCATATTCATGCTGTCTGTGTGTGCAGTGCATATTAGAATTTGTTGTGTGCATCGTTGCATATGACTGTGCAGTTTTCATGTGCACATGAAACACCCGTGCACAGGATGTATGTGTTTCGCGTTGTATGCGAACGGTCCGCTGAATAGGTGCGAGGGGTGATTAAGGCCCTGCTCACTTGGCTATGCGGGGGCAGTTGCCCTGGCAGTGGCATGGTGATGGATAGCATGGGGTGCCAGTCATTAGGCAGCCTCCTGGCCTCTGGCACTGAGGTTGCACTCTTAAACACTGCCCTCCCCCGCCTGTCCCCAAACACCACTGCTCATTTCAAGGTCAACTGCCTCTGTGGTGCTGTAAGTTCACCTCCACAAGTCACAAGACTTCTTCCTTTTGTTTGGAACCTTTATCGCTCACTGCCAAAGGGTGTGTTTTGGAATGTGGGGGTGGTTGGCTTGTGCCTTGCCTCGTGCTG